TTTTGTGTGCAACTTATTGACCATTTAATGGAATATTAAAACTGGGAGAGATAAATGAAGCTTTCTGTTCCCATAAAGATTTACAACCTCGGAAGATCTATATAAGGTCATTATGAGTTGGAACCTATTCAATGGCACACAACAAGTGCTTGTTGGTTAATATTTTGTGGGCGACAAATAAGGGATAGTTATTACCCTGAAAAAAAAAGAAACAACCTTTCAATATCGAGAAATACTTAATAGGCCTTCATCCATATTCAGAAATAGACCCATATGCAGTGGAGTTGACCTAAGATTTAGTATTTATCCTACAAAGACACCTAATTAAGATTTCAGATCCATGGGAGATCTAAGCTGAGATCTAGGAGCTGCTAAATTCCCTTGGAGCTCTCCATGGTGCTTGCCTCATGGTGTTTCAGCCTGTCCTGCTCCTTCATTCCTGGTAGACTTACTCCACTTCAGTAACCTACACTCTTGTCCACTCTGCTCATTCTTTTCTTTAACTTTTGTGTGTGGGGGGGTTGTTTGTTGTTTATTTTTTATGGGTCAAAGTTTCCCATATTATCTTTGCCAAATGCTGGCTTTGCCTCAACTCAGCCCACACTTAGATCCTAACTCAGATTCCTAGCTTAGATCCTTCTACACTTGACCAAAATGACACTCCAAATGCAGAGTCCTGGTGTAGCACTGTAGGATAATCACTGGACTGCTAACTGAAAGATTGGAGGTTCAAATACACTAGGTACTCCTTGAAAACACTATGGATCGCTATGAGTTGGAACTGACTCCAGAGCACACAAAAACCTCAACACCAAGGCAGCTGTTTATGAACACTTCTAAATGTATTAATAGATTTTTAAAAATATTAACTCTCAGAGTCTGTCCCTACAAACCTTGCGTACTGTGTAGGGTCTAGAAAATGTCCTGTTATGTTCTAAGACAATCCCCTACTGTTAAATTTGCCTCTTCACAACAACAGAACCGCACGGAATATGGTGGTTATGTGAAACTTTAACCTTCCAGATGTTCTGTGGTGAAGGATTGCATGCCTTACTGTTCTCTCTATTACTGCTGTCCGGTTACTGACTTTTTGTTTTGTAGGGAGCTGTTGTTGGCTGTTGTTGGTAGTTGCCATTGAGTTAATTTGGATTGATGGTGACTTCATGTATTACAGAGTAGAACTAGTATACAACATCAATATAGTGCCATACTAAGAGAGCAGAAAGATGCGTTATAGATTAATAGAGCTAGACTTATCAGGTTAAGGATATGATTCCATAACGAATAATGTTAAGAACCATTCCATTAATTTAAAATTTTCATCAATGGTCAAAGAGAACAATACAGTCAATCTTTTTGGAAAAACATTATAGTATATGAAGATAATAAGGCAGTGAGTATGATTGTTAAATAAAATGTTAACCAAGGACCTTGAATTTGTGAGTACAATGCCCTTTTCTCTTCAGGGTTCAAACTCATCAGTCACTCCTTAGAAACACACTATGAGTCAGGACTGACTTGAGGGCACTTAACAACAACGTTCTTATTTTAATATAACTCAAAGATTGAATATACATGCTACAACAGGCTAAATAGAAAATGTAGCTAAAGTGGTGATTTTGACCTCTATCTACATATTAGATATATAGAATGATACCAGGTGGCTATTATAATTTGGAAGGGAAAGGACAGCAGAGTCTCTAGTTGATCCAGATACAGAGTTAGCCTTTATAATATTTTTTCCTCTTCTTTCATGTCCTTTAGTCTTCCTCCAGTCCCACCAGGTCTGTCACTTGTGAGAGTTCAAAGCCTTCCCCCAGCATATCCTGAAGGCTTAATTTCTTATCATCTCCTTGACTTTTATTTTTTGATGCAAAGAAAACTCAATCCTTCACAATTGTCACTGAAGACAGGCTTAAAAACAAACATTTTATGTGTTTAGTAGATTTATTTGTAGATTTGGGTTCATGTCTTGAACCACCTCATGCCCTTCATTCTTTTCTCACCAACCCCCTTCTTTTCTTCCCATACTGTCTCAGCTTCTCTCCTGTGGACAGCCCCAAGAGCTCTGTATTACTCTCCTACTGACATAGAGCAGTGCAGTGTTATCAATCTTTACTGAACCAGCACAAAGTCATTGAGACCATCATAAGAAAAGCATGGGGTAGTTGGTAGAGTGTGGTTTCTAGAGGCTCAGTGTCTGAGTTTATAGCTCAGTTTTGCTACTAATGATATATGTGACCATGGGCAAGTTACTTAACCTCTCTGATATGTGAAATGAGGATAATAATAGTGATGGTGGTCGTTGTGTGCTGTTTAGTTGGTTCCAACTCATAGCGATCCAGTATGGGGTTTCTGAAGTTATAAATCTTTACTGGAGCAGAGAGTCTCATCTTTCTCCCCCAGAGCAGCTGGTAAATTCTAACTGTTGACTGTGTGGTTAGCTGCCCAACTTGTAATCCACTATGCTACCACAGCTCGTTATAATAATAGTGTTGTTGGCGTTTAAAGTGTCATTGGGTTGGTTCCAACTCATAGCAACCTTGTTTAGGGTTTCCAAGGAGTGCCTGGTGAACTTGAACTGCTGACCTTGTGGTTCACACTGACTGTACAGTCCTGTGCATTAGCCCACAGTGCCACACTAGGACTCCACAATAATAGTACTACCTCATGAAGGGGACTTAAAATACTTACTGATGAAGATCAAAGACCACAGCCTTTGGTATGGGTTGCATCTCAATGTAAAGAAAAGAGAAATCCTCACTACTAGACCAATAAACAACCTCCATGTCAATGGAGGAAAGATTGAAGTTGTCATGGACTTCATCTTGTTCAGATTAATCATCAACACTTACAGAAGCAGCAGTCAAGAAATCAAACAATGTATTGCACTAGGCAAATCTGCTGCACAAAATCTTTTTAAAGTGTTCAAGAGCAAAGATGTCAGCTTGAGGACTAAGGTGCACCTGACCTGAGCCATGCTATTGTCAATAACTTCATATGCATGAGAAAGTTGGACGGTGAATAAGGAAGACCATAGAAGAATTAATGCATTTGAATTATGGTGTTAGAGGAGAATATTAAAAGTACCATGGACTGCCAAAACAAATTTGTGTTGGAAGAAGTACAGCCAGAGTGCTCCTTGGAATCCAGGATGGCCAGACTTCATCTCTCATACTTTGGACATACTATCAGGAGGGATATCCCTGGAGAAGGATATCATGCTTGGTAAAGTGGAGGGTCAAAGGAAAAGAGGAATACCCCCAATAGGATGGATTGGCACAGTGGCGGCAGCGATGGATTCACGTGTAGCAATGATTGTGAGGTTGGCACAGGACCAGGCAGTGTTTTGTTTTGTTGTGCATAGAATCGCTATGAGTCGGTACTGACTCGATGGCACCTAACAACAGCAACAACAGCCTCATAAAAAATTTGTGATTATTAGAAATGGTAATTTATGTAAAAGATTTAGCCTTGCATAAAATATATATTCTGTTTGTGTTAATACTTTCCCTCCTTGTTTTTCTGTTTCCTGGCTTTTGCCATCTTCATAGGAGTGCAAACAGTTAAAATGTTTAATTGTTAACTGAAAGGCTGAAAGTTCAACGCCCTCCAGAGTGTCTTGAAATAAATAATACCTTTTATGTATTTCTATCATTCCTTTATAATTGCATTTACTGTACAATAATAAAAGGTTATAGTTATCTATTTCCCTCATTGGCAATGATCTCTTGTAGTAGGGGTGGGAAATGTCCAACCCTCAGACCATATAAGGCCTGCAAAATCATTTGGTCTGGTCCTGCCAAAACTACTGCAGTTTCAGCCATCAATCACATTAGGGGTGAGTTAATTAAATGTTTGACCAAATATAGCAGGCTAATTTTTAAGTTGATAATTTTATATGGCCCATGAATAATGTTAGGAATTTTGGCAGAAAAAAAAAAGGTTCTCCACCCTCTCTTAGAGGGCGAGGACCAAGTTTTACTTACATATATGTCTTGAGTGCCTAGTACCTTGGCCGGGAAATGCTGAGCTGAGGAAGCCAGTGGAAGAAATTCTGGACAGTGGTCAAGTCTTGGCTGAATTTTCCTAGAAACAAAGAAAAAGGCAAAACCAAAAGTATTGGAAAGATAACTCTTTCCAGAAATGAACTGAGTTGCTGCTAGCAGGAGAAGATGTAGTCATTCAATCATTTCATCAATGGATTGCTAATCATGTGCCTGACAGCGAATAAAGCAATGATCCGTGTACTCATGGGGCTTTTTCAGGTTTATTTCAATTCTACTCACAAAGAGCTAAATATCTTTATCTTTTACTATTGGTCATGGAATGCTTACCAGTTCCCTTCAAGTTGGTCTCCTGTGTGTGTCAGAGTAAATCTGTCCTCCATAGGGTGAGGCTGATTTTTTGGAAAAAGATGACCAGACCTTATTTCCAAGATGTCTTTGGGTGAAGTTGTACCTCCAACCTTTTGGTTAGTGGACAAGAGTGTTAACCATTTGCACCACCAGGGACTTCACACAATGCTTGATATTGTTAGCTGGCATCAAGTTGGCTCTTTATGCATGCCTACCCCATGCCCATGTATTGAACCATGTTGTTTCATAGGCATTTTATTGGCTGAATTTTGGAAGTAGGTCACCAGACCTTTCTTCCTTGTCTGTCTCAGTCTGGGAACTCTTCTAAAACTTGTTTTGCATAATAAAAAATACAAATCTTTACAGAAAGACAACTGGAGGCTGTGCATGGAGTATATTGGCTAGGAAATCAAACCTGTGTCTAATGCATGGAAGGCAAGAATTCACTTCTGAACTGTTTGTTGGAGAAATACCCATGGGATATGTGGAATATTGCAAAAGTTCTACCTAAAATATGGAATCATAGTTAAGTTCATAACACAGACTCAGAAGCTTTAATTTTTGGATATCAGTCCACTCTTTAGTTCCCCCTGGTTAGTGGTGAATCAGTTGCTGACTGTGCTTCTCATTGAACATTTTCAGACTTCGAGCAGTGGAAGGCATTCTGTTCGCATTACTGGTCTCAGTACTATTGATTTCCGAGCTGGCTTTTCCCGAAAGCCCACCCTGGACTTCAAAAAAACAGTCAGCAGACCAGTGCAAGGTTTGTATGTACACATTACTTATATTGGCATATTCAGTATCTAAATCAAGAATATTTCTTGGTCTTTCAGTTATTTTATGATTTTCTATATGCCATAAAATTGGGAAACATAACATCTTTACTTTTAAAATGATTGCTGTCTTCACCTAGTCAGTGTTTCTCAAAGTCTGGTTCTAAAAGCAATGATGTCAGACTCAGGAAAATAGAATCTATAAATTAAGAATCCTAGGCCCACCAAAAGGAGCTCTGGCAGTGGAATGGTTATGAATCGGGCTGTGAACCTCAAAGTGAGCAGTTCGAAACTACCAGCTATTCTGTAGGCTAAAGATGAGGCTTTCTGCTCCCATAAAGATTTACAGCCTCAGAAAACCTATACAGGGTCGCTTTGCGTTGGAACCGACTCCACAGCACATAACCACCACCACCGCCAGGCCCCATCAAGATTTCCTGAACCAATTGTAGAAGATTGGGCCCAGGCATATGCATTTTAATAAACTCTTTACTTTATTTCCATACTTACTATATTTGAGAACCATTGACTTAGACTATGAGTCTTTCTTATTAAATGTACAATTTGTTTTGTTATCTTGGTGAGAAAAGAGATAGTGCATGTGACTATAGTTGATAAAATTAAAGATATAATGTGTTGCAACATGTTTAAAGCTAAATTTTTTTTTCTGATTTTTAAAGCTTATCCTTCTTATTTTTTTATGAATGAAGAGTAATAGCTTTATTGCTAGAAAATAAGTTCAAGCCTCCTGTGATCCTGAAATTTTTTTCTGGTTATTCTTTTTATTTTTATGGATTTAGTTTCTAAAAGAGTGTACAAATAATGAATCTTTAAAAATATCCATGTAATCAAGCACCATATAACAAAACAATCACAATTGTGATTATTTTGACATCTATCCGTAGTCAAAATACTATAAGAATAATTGCACAAGATTCCCCAAGTTTCTTGGATACTGGATAAGTTCTCTTTTATGTACATAAGATTCTGTTTGTCCACAGCTGGTAGTGTAGTTATCATTATGGTACTTGTCTGCTATTAAAATGGAAATATTTATTTGATATAGAAACTCAATTGCCTGTTACTTGTAAATAATAAAATCTCTCATTTTGTAGGAATACCTACTTATGTGCTGTTGAATACTTCTGGAATTTCTGTTCCAGCTAGAGTAGATCGTCTTGAACTTCTGAGTATCTCAGGCAGACCTCTTAAGACTATGCCTGTTAAATATTACCCAGATCAAAAGCCTTATGGCTTATGGAATATTTCCGACTTCATTCCACCAAACGAAGCTTTCTTTCTTAAGGTCACAGGCTATGATAAGGACGATTATCTCTTCCAGCGAGTCTCAAGTGTTTCCTTCTCTAGCATTGTCCCAGGTGAGATGTTATTGTTTTTCAACACTAGTGTATGGATGGCTTAAAGGGGTTGGTATTAACAGCTAGGTTTTTTTTTTTTTTTAAGTTATAAAATCATAATAATGTCATCACATTACTACTGGTACCAAACTGATGGGCATTTTCACTTAGGTAACACAATTCTTCTTTTTTTTTTTTTTTTATTGAGAACTGAGTGATAGTCTGCATGGGAGCACATCAACTTTACACCATTGTTTCATTGCAATATGAAAATCTCCTCTGTGCATCATCATTCACCAGTATTTGCTTCCATTCCCACTGTTTTTTGTTTTGTTTTGTTATGTTTGTGTGTGTGTGTATTTGTTTTTTTTGGGGGTATACACAAGAACAATCAGGAATATATAATAATTTAAATAACCAAAGGGCACATTCTGGAAGCCTACCTCCTGGCTGCCAGCACTCAGTCCTCAGCTGCTCACTGTTTCATGTCCTCATCTCTGTCTCCGTCTCTGGTGCTGCTGTTTCTCTGGATAGGGTCCCACATTCTGCTTGGGTAACACAATTATTTTTAAGGATACATAGCACATCTGAAGTTTCATGTTAATTCTTATTAGTCATAGATCTGGGGATTTTGATTAATTTCAATCAGTGTAAGAACTTGAACTAGGAAATTTGGGTGTCCTCCCTCATCCTAAAAATACTTGGCCAAACTGTCAAAATTGACTAAATGTTTACATATTGAAAATGATATAACCTTCTCCTTCATGTAGGCTATTGTTGTTAAGTACAGTCAAGTCAGTTCAGACTCATAGGGACCCTCTCTAGGGTTTCTGAGGAGTAACTGGTGACTTTGAACCACTGACCTTGCTGTTCAATCTGGCCTTGTTGACCAATGCTTATGCTACAGCACCATACCAGTGCTAAATCAGGATGAAATCGAAGTGCCACTTTTTTTTCCTGCTAAGCAGCTTGTCCTTTCAGTTAACTGCTAAGCACTTAGCT